GAAGCTTTTTGCTCAGGAGCTTCGGTGTCCAGGTTACGTTGCATGTTCGCTTCTAGGGGCTTGGAGGGTTTGAACGTCTTGAACGGGCATCCGCTCATTGGGATCAGGGGCCTGTATCTGCTTTGCTGGCTCCATGTTTTGTGCAAAACGGATGGAGAGCTAATCAAATTACACATGACCCGGAACTCGTTGACCCTAAATCCGAACCGTAGCCCCACACCTTAATGAAACCCCACCCGAGACAAGACACCACCCCACAACGCTCAAACGGTCAACGAGCAAAGAGACAAGCGACACACCGTGATTTCAAAGGGCGCTGGAGTTGAGGGCTTTAGCGGTTTAGGCATGACTTAGCGTTTGGGGGCTGTTACAATTTTACGGTTAGTAATGACTAGTAATCATCCACTCCCTAAAAGCTGCCTGACTACCAACCTAACCCAAGCGCCAACTTGCTGAGTACTTCGGACCCTTCGCTACACGCTTGCTCCCTGCCCTGGGGTTCTACAGAATCAGCCTGCCCGAAGACAGTCAAGACAAACATGTGGGTTGTTGTCAAAATCATGGTCCCTTGTTGTGTCCCTATTATAATACGGCACCTCTTTATTATTTAGTGTACCCAAAACGGGACCCTAATTTTGACAACGAACCCATGTTGACAACTTCGCAGGGCTTTGGAAACGTCAGCCTCAGGGCTCCAAATTCTCTCATCTTAAACCCTGGAGCCCTGAAGCCCAAAACTGTAAACCCACATGTGCCGACCATCTGCAGCGAAGTGTCGTCGTAGGGGCCCTGCCCGGTTGCATGACCGGTACCATCCTGATTAATGGCGACCCAGTACTTGGAGGATCATGGGACTTAGTAAGTAGGGTTATAAGTTATAAGTACCCTAATTGGGGTTGTACGTAATCAGAAGTATGGCTACCCTGATTATAACCCTAGTTATTTACTAAGTCCCATGACCCTTTAAGTACCCTAAACTCTAAACCCTCAGCTCTGAGCTCTAAACTTTCGTCTGAATCCCCAAATCCTGCGCCCTACATGATGGGATGCCAAAACCGGGGGGTTTAAGATTCTTGGGGTTAGGGATTCCTTAATATAAACCCTATTATGGGAACCCTAATCCCTACTAAACCCCCGTAGGCTAAAACCCCTTTTGGCCTCCTATGATACCCTAAGCATCCCTTAACTCCATGTTAGCGGCTTCAGTTGCCGGCGCAGGTGTGAACCCTGCTTGGCTTTTGATGCCAGCGGACCAGGGCACAGTTTACAGCGGTATATATGGCCAGGTATCATGTAATTACATATCGAGTTCATAGGCCAAGACAGTTTAAACTGTCAGTTGCAAAGAAGCTGGAACATAAGCATACATGAATCTGTATGAACTATCCAATAAAATGATAAGTCAGGCGAGCTGCGTCAATGCACTGCTCCGTCTTGCGGCCAGCTGTCTGCAAGCAAAACAGAGACCTCAAGTGGCGTTGTACTGGTCGATCCCCAAAACCACATCCCACCTTGCCGTCTTCTGCAACAGAATATGAACAAACAATACGTAAAGAAACGCCCTACCGACAACTGTGTGCTCGCATGCAGGTACTCTCGAACTAGAGCCCCCTGTGACAACCGTAGGTCCCAAACACATACGCCAAACCCCCGTATGAACCCTAAATCCCAAACCCTATAACCCCTAAAGCCTACACTTGAGACTGCCAATCCCAGTCGGGGCACCGGTTTGTGAGAACCTCCAGGCGACTGGACTTGATCTTCTTCTGGTAGTCCTTCCCCTATAAACCCTAAACCCTCCTAAACCCTAAACCCTCCTAAACCCTGAACCCTAAACCTGTGGTACTCGGCTTCGGGCTTCGAAGTTATCGTTTCGGCTTGGTTTGGTCCGTAAAGATTATTGGGTCGAAGGGTTCAGACGCTAATGATCCAAATCTGGCTTTGCACAAAAGCGCATGCCATAGCTTCCGTAGTTCAGGGTACTTGAGAATTAGGGTAGTGCATTCTGTCCGCCAATATCCATCCTATCTATTGTCTCGAAGTCCGAATCCGGCGAGCGAGGTGGGGCAGGTTCGATCAGTGACACGTTTGCATGTTGTCGGGGTCATTGTCCTTCCTTCCTTCCTTCCGACCTTGCCTACGGGCCTATGTCCACCTGAAGTGTCGACCAAGCGAGTATCAGTCTGTCTGGGATGTCGCCAAAAATGTGTCAGCAGCTCCGTGGCTGTAGCTTCGCAAGCAGCAAGAATCCAAGCACATCCAAGTCTGAAACCGCCACAACGACGACTCTATGCGGTGGGTGTATAGCAGGGCAAGGGCAGTGGGTCCTGAACAACGACCTTCTCCGAATAGAGCAAAGAGCTGTTGAAGTGCACCGTGATCTTGTTTCCAGCGACCTTCAGATTCGGGTTTAAGCATTATCTGAGTCCGGAAAAACGGATAGCATAAAACATGCCTGAACTTCAACGGCATCGAAACCACCCATGCGTGCTCAGCAAGGCTACGTGTTCTGCAGCTTGACCGAACTCTCTCGCACTCGCACGAAGTCCCTAAACCCTAAACTCTAAACCCTCTTGTTCCGTAGGGCTGAACCTTCAACTTTGAAGTCCTTGAGCAGACGGCCTTGTGTGAAACCATGACCCCTACTGATGATATCTATCCTGCAATACTTAAGGACCCTAAGCTATGGAAGTTATGAGATCTTCCTCATTATGGGTACTGCAGGATTTATATCATCAACCGTAGTTCCGAAATCTAGAAATCTAAACGCCGGACTGAAAACTCAATTCAACAGCACCCATATCCCAAACCAGAACATCCAGAAACCGAACAACTGAAGCCTGACACTGAACCCATAGCTTCATGGCCTGACACTGAACCCATAGCTTCATGGTGAGAGCCCTATAACAAAGAAGCAGGTTGGCAAAAAGTGAACTGCTGTTGAATGCCCTTAGATTCTGAACCCTACCCCCCAAGCCCTGAACCCCTACACCCTGAACCACTAAACCCAATTAAACCGCATAAAAAACTGAACCGAAGAAACCCCTAAACCCTGAACCCACCAAACCGCATGAAGCCCTAAACCCGACACACCCCCAAACCTTAAACCCCCAAGCCCTGAATCTGGCTCTCAGAGCAGGGGCAGAGCAGCCCGACAGCGTGGGTCCAGTGAAGATCCCAGGCTTGCCGTATGCGACCACCAGGCCTGCACGAAGGCTCAACGGTACCGAAGAGGGCTCGGGTTTAGGGTTCAGGGCTTAGGGTTTAGGGTTCCCTTAAAGGTTCTTTCAAGGGGTCCTTTCAGTTTCTAAAAAACTATAAAAGCCTTCTAGATGACGGGATAAGTGGAACCCATTAGAATCTCGAATGTACTTCCTCGATTACTCGGAGGGTCGGGGCACTTAGTAAGTAGTGATTCTCAGGACTTTACACGTAACAGTCATCACCCCATTCAGGATCCCTTCTTAACGTACTTAGAAATGTAATTTTCACCTACTATAACTAAGCCCCCCCCCCCCGCCACGACCCTCCAAGTACTGTCCAGACGCTGAGCACGGAAGGGCTTCGGGCTCTGGATCTTTGAGGAGGGAGTGGAGTTGGGACAAGGCCCAGGTTTCGGTTCTAGGGTTTAGGTTTCATAGGTTTTAGGGCTTCGGGTTTCGGTTCTAGAGTTTCGTTTTTATAGGTTTTAGGGTTTAGGGCTTAGGGTTCATAAAGTTCATGAGTGTGTTCATATGGGCCTGTGGGCTTTGCGGGTGTAGTGTAACGACTTTCGGGCAGTGGGCCGTGGGTACGTAGAGGGAGGGCGGTGTTACCAATCCAACAAACATCCGAGCCTGCTCGAGCCAGACGCTCGCCGACCGGCTTCTTGTCACGAGGGTGGATGGGTCCCATGTAATAGTTGGCGGCCTGAGACGGCTTAAGTTTCAGGGTTTGGGGTTTGGGGTTTAGGGGTTCGGGAACGTACCAGGCGTCATAAAGCAGGTTGCGCAGCATTTCCAGAATCAACAGCGTGATGGGCAATTGGTGTTTAGCATGGCCGAGCTCAAAACTAGGCGTTCACGCCAAGTCGCAGAGAGACTGGCGCAGTAACCGTTTGGTCCGAGGCCTCACATCAAAGTCAAGCATTCTTGGCTTTTTGGCTCAAAGTCTACCTACAGTCTCCATTTTATTTCCTGGTTTTTTGTTCACCAAACTCTATAGAATAGGATCCTATCCATAAAACTGGTTAACGAAAAAAGGAACCCCAAGGGTCCAAGTACCTGATAATCATATACTCTCCAAAATCCTAACCTACATAACTATTATCCTGAAACCGAGTACCTGATTATCGGGTCCTTTGGACCCTTGGGGGAACTACATTGGATAGGTAGATGAGAAGTCGAGCATAAGGCGCAGCATCCTGAGCAGCACCGCATTCAAAACAGGTGCCTGACAAATCCTTGGCCTAGGGTCGCGTCCTTCAAAGCACCAGTCCGACAAAGTAAACTGGTCATGCCAAGCTTTGGAGAGGCTTGAAGACTGTCAGAGGCCCTTGCCAAAACAGCAACGCATGGGTACTTCTCCAAAGTAAGGCTTTTTGGCCCCAAAATAGTGCGGAACCCCTATTATAAAAACACACTAAAAGGGACTCTATGTTAGAGATAGTACCCTAAATGACCCTTATAGAAATCCTCATAGATCCCTTTAAGCAACCCCAAAAAGGGCCCATGTAAGTTCAAGGAAAAATGGAGTACCTGGACCTTGCCAAGGAGCAGCTCCAGCAGGCTGGCTTTGGATCCGCGCCACAGCAGCCTGCGAAGCGAGCGAAACGAAGGTTTTAGGGTTCATAGTCTCTTCTTCTGGATTGGCTTGAATCGCATGATGCGCCGCTCAATTCAATATGGTAGCAAAAAGAAGGGGTTCATATTTTAGTGCACTGTATGACACTACCCATCATGAAGCAATTACATGCCTGCATGTCCGTGTCCGCTGTCCTTCTTGCGATATTTTTCAAGTTGTCAATCTTCAGCGTGCTGCAGCAGAGCTCTTGCATCAGCTCGGACTTGAACATATCTTTCACGAGCAGATGCCATCTCGTGGGCATGCTGCAGATAAGCTAGCCATGCTGCTATCTCAGGTTTGTCGCTGGCCTGGGCATATTCAAGCCGTTGTCTGCAGCGCTTGATCTGTGATGCACGTTCAGTTCCTGACCGTGTGAGCCGCTGGTAGCGGGCCTGATTGCCAACTAATCCTTGAAGTTGCTCTCTAACCTCGTAGAAGTTTGTGGAAGACAGACGCAGTGCGATTCGGGCAGACTCTCGTTTCACACGCAAGCCTGCAGACAACAGCTGCCGCAGAATCTCTCGGGATGCCTCTGTCCTTGTAATGACCATCATCGACACGGATCGGGCCTTGTACAGGGAAGAGTCCAGACCGCGATCTGCCAAAAAGCGCTTGATGCAATGCAGAACTGGATCATGCTTTTGCCCGAGAGTCACCACAATCGAAGCTGATGGTCGCACGCTAATGCACCCTTCAGCATCGAAAAAACCTGCGAGAAATGCCCATGACGGGCAATTCGCCGTTGCAGGTGGAAGCTTCTTCAGCAGCTGGAGATTCGTAGCAGATTGCCGACGTGCAGACATGCATTGTGGCCACGAACTTATGACCTTCAGCTGGGGTTGCTTGCAAGAAGAGACTGTGCTTAGGAGAGCGGCAGCATGCGCAGCGCCAGCTCCAGACAACTCCCAGCGGACCGTCGGCCTGAACAATCCTGTACCTCTTGAGCGACCTACGTAGATTCCGCCGCCGAGAAGGTTCTTGAAGAAGAGTAAGACTTTTGCATTGATACTGCTCTGATGAATTTCCAGTCGAACGCTGCTTCTCGACCAGGTATTCCTTGCGCAACCGTCGCCATCAAAAAAGCCCGCCAAGTATTCCAAGGAGCGCGGTGGGACATGCCTGCCGGCCTTGGTATGTTCAACGCGCATTGGCAGGGAGTATGTCTTTCCATAAGCCTCAAACGAGTCAATAGGCGGCAGCCGGATCCGGCTCAGTAGGCGACGCAATCTATAGAACCGATGCTGTAGCTGCTCCAGGCTAAGCTGCCTCATCGAAATAGACAAGGGCTTTGCATCGCAAGTGCCGTGCTTGGCGGATAGCCGAAGCTTGATCAGTCAGGCGCCGCTTCAGTGTCGATGTGCTGATCTGATCTGCTTGCATTTGGCGTCTGACATCCACCTACTGAAACCGTCGATCTTGGAGCACGGACAGGCTTGGAATAAGCTCCTGAAAGCAACTTAGTTGAAAACCAGTGTTGGCTGAAACTGTCGGTGAACAAACCCTGTTGGGCTGGGATTGCCGGGCAATGGGCATTGCTTCAAACTGTGCACGTGATGACTGAGCAACATAGAAAACACTGCCACCATGCCTGCACGGTAGCAGGTGATGTTGCTGAAGGGGTCGTCCAAATCCTTGGCAGGCTAGCGCACGGCATTGCTGGGTGCTACGAAGTGAACGCGAACATACACTGCTGCTATTTTGCTCTAGACTCACCTTTCCTCAAGTCTGGTTTCCTGCGATTTTGAATCTAATCACCGTTGCAACTTGCCACTCTCTCCAAATCGTACCGGACAGTGGTCAGGTCCGCATTGCTCGACGGGTAAGCACTCGGAAAATCGCCATTCTGCTTCACCCCAAAACATGTCATCTACAAGATCGATTCTGCAGCTGATGGCCGGCCCAGTCACGAAAGCTTGCGCCATGAAGGTGTTCCTTCGATTATCCCAAGCGAACACAGCGCTGAATGATTCTGTACTTGGGTTTAGGCAGTTTAGTTTCTTGTAGGTTGCTACTTGGGCGAGTACATATATTATTAGGCTTGTGCGCATCGACGTGGACTAGTTCCAGAACATTCGCATAGTTCGAGAGATGTTTGACACAACGAAGCTGCTTACCGCCAGTCGCAATATTATCGCGCAGGACCCTGAGCCAAAGTCTCAAACACTGAACTCTCCAATGGATTTACTGACAGTTACTGCTGACAAGGAACGGCATCGCTGGGTTTGGTGCCACACCATAGTTGGCTGTTTGCGCCTCAAAAGTGGGCGGAGAACTTAACTCCAGAATTGTGCAACAGCCACTACCACCAACAACAGCAACCACGCGATACTACTAAGCAATTTCCAAACCCGAAAGACCATGAACTATAAAACAAATCAAACACGAGCATATGAAAACCTGCCAGAATGTCAAAAAGGACAAGCTCTCAGCCCGGCTAGTTACTTGTCACCTACGATTATCTGATTCGGAACATCTTTCTGACTCCTTGAACCCCGAATCGTACCACTGGGTTTGTGAATCAGATGTCTATACCAATATTCAGCATGTGCTGCAGGTCCAGGATACTGCCTAAAGTTGATAAGGACATCGCACAGTTCCACTGCGTTACGGCTTCTGCTTGGCACATGTGACCCCGATCAAAGCAAAGCTCGGCACCCATCGCATGGCTCCCATGCTGTTGCCACCCTCGCTGCCACTCGCGGCCAGAGTTACCTCGTGGGAGTGCGTCAGGCAGAGTCCAGGATTTGGGAGAGGAGGGTTCGGGGCTCCTGGATCAGATGTAACGGGTATCCATACTATCCGTCATGGGGTTGGGTTAGCAACAACGTCCAATTGTTCTGAATTTGCCTATAGTTCTGAAAACTTATCCATGAAACTCAACTTACAGATCTCCAAGGGTCCAAGTACCTAATAATCATATACTCTCCAAAAACCTAACCTACGTAACTATTATCCTAACACCGAGTACCTGATTATTGGGTCCTTTGGACCCTTGGGGGATTTGCCACTTACAGATTTGGGAGTTTCCGAAAATAGGGGACCCTAATATACAGTAGTACCCTAAATAGTATAGGATCCTTATTATAAGGACCCCAAAATAAGGTACCCCTTATATTCGGAAACTCCCATTTGCTACTTGTGGCTCACGCCGTACTCTGGTTTCGGCCTTAAACAGTAAACCCTAAACCCTAAACCCTAAAAACCCTAAACCGTGGCTCTGCCTTGGTTTCGGCCTTAAGACCTTTAGCGGCTCTTCCTCCGCTAAGCTGCGAAACCGAACGGCGCGTCCGGCTCAGTGGTTCCATCCGTGGCGCTCCTGCCAACATAAAGGGAACTCCAGAAAGTTGGAATATGGTTTCAGGGTAGGATACCCTATAATATACCACAAAGGGTGTAGGATAATCATATTCCAACTTTCTGGCTGTTACTTTAGGGGTGGTTCTCTAAATTAGGTTGCCCTTTCCACCTGCTTTTTAGGGTGCTTTCGAGTAAGGGCGCCATACTACGTTCTATTTCTGGAAAACAGACCCTAGTTTAGAGACTCCCCATACGAGGGCTCTTCTAAGTTAGGGCCCGTCAGACTGGTTCCTTAACATCTAGCCGTATCGCATGTTAAACCTGACATGCGGACAGGAATCCTTGTTAATAACTTCCCTCGTATTTTGCTAGTGTCTTCTTGGGACGTCGGGAAGTCGGACGGATACACTGCCGCCCTTCAACCTTCTCCCTTATATCTGTGTATGTAGTATGCTATATACACACACACACACGAAAAAACTTGCTTCTGACCAAATGTCGGGCCACGTAAAATCAAAATCTCCAACCATGGTACCAAGCCCACGCACCTGAACTCGAAAACTCTAAACTCGCACCGAAACCCTCTTACTCGCCAAAGCTCAAAGCCCAAATCCAAACGCAGGGTTTCTTACCCACTGTGAAGCTCTACAGACCCCGCGAATCCGAATCTAACCCCCCCAAGACATTCACCACCCATCACCGGGCTCCAGAGCGCGCGCCAGGAGCGCACCAGGGCTGGCATCAAACAGCCGTAGCCGTAACCAAGCTCCGAATTGCCATGTGTGCCTTGGGCTTTAGGGGACTCAGGCTGTAGGGACGGTAGGTCTTCGTTTCGGATTGTTGGTGATATCATATCAGGCTCGACCTAGTCTGGAGAATGCTTCAACACAGAAGCAGGGACTGTTCCAGGGCACTGGGCCACTAAGTACTCCAAGGGTGGACCTGAAGGTTCAGTTGGGTAGCATGGTTCCCCCCTTCAGGTTTCATTGCCAGGGTTTGGAAATTCCAAGCAAGTCTCTGGCATGACGCAGGGTGTCGTGTTACAGGCTACACTAAACCTCTAAGGACTGCAAGTCAAGTTGGCGGGGTTTAGAGTTTAGGGCTTAGGGTTCAGGGTTTAGGGTTGTAGTATTTCCATGGAGATGGGTTTATGGCTCCCCTAAAGGGTTCAAGCCCAAGCCAAACCCCCAACTATGTTGGTAATTCGACCGTCGCAGCTCGGGTTTAGTATCTACCACACCCCATCTCCCTTAGCACAGTAGGTATACAAGTGTTACCCTACCACGTATGGGAGGGTCTAGGTAAGGTCAGGGCTCGCGATTTGGGTTTTATGGTCCTAGTGACAGCACAGAGGGTGGCGGGCAACTATAACTAGGCAAGGCCTTGGGGTTGCACAGGGCCCTAACACCAACAGCCCGAGGTCCAGACCCGGAAACCTTCCGACACAAGGCCAAAGGCCGAGCTGCCATGCATGTCGTTCTCGCCCTGGTACCAGATCCACCCCTTCAGCGTCATGCCGACATACCTCGGAGTAAACATGCTAGCATAATGAAAAGGACTTCGGCCAGTCCTTATTGAATAGAGTTACGGGATGGCTAGGGGTCTGGGGTACTACAGCTTCAGGCGATGTAGGTACTTAGACTTAGGATGCTTTGGGAAGTCCGCGCCAGGCTGCGGCATGACGCGCTCGTCGTGGTACTTCTGATTCCCGGCGGTCAACGTCGCATTCCTTGCGGGCCAAAAACAACGGCCCCCAAAGTTTAAGCGGCTACTCCACCTCACGTGCCCTGAACCCTGAAGGCGCCAGCAAAAAGAGATCCCCCAACCTACATGAACATGAAGCTTCAGCTCCCAGCGAAGACTCTCCATCAAAAGGATCCCCCGAACCTCACAGGCACTCGCCGAAGCACATATACTGAACGAGTATCGAAAGTATCTAAAGTCAGTGCTCGGGCTGCTTCGCCTCGGGGGAGGGGCCGGGCAAGCCCATGCTCTCCGAAGCTCGACGGGATATTTGTGCCAGATTTTGTGAAAGGAGGAAAGGAAGAAACTGCTGGGACGCTGGAGGTGGAATTCAAGGATGCTCGTCTGACAACTTTTTCCTCCGAGATCACGCTCATGCTGACACCCGCTGCTGGCGGACTACATGGTGCATGAAATCATGTGCCGTAACATGCGCTGTATGCTCGTCCTGGATCAGAAAAGGTACCAACATCCACAAGCAAGGACCCGCTTGAGGCCACAAAGCTAAACCTTTAAACTCTAAATGATCCCCAAACCTTAAGCGTAAACCCTAAACCCTAAAGCCTAATTCCCCAAACCCTAAAAGCGTAGATGAGGTGAGTTTCCTGCAGGTGCTGATGGTTTTGTTGTCCAGCCACGCCTCGATCATACCTGAACTGGACTTATAGAAGGAGGTCCCCTTTTATGGGAGTGTGCTGACTGAACCCTAGAAGTGGTTCGGTTCTAGACTTAGGGGATTTGGTTTTAGGGTTAAGTGCGCAATGGAGAGCTACCAGGGCTTTGGGAGGTTCGGCGTTGAGATCGCAGACTTATCGACAAGGTGCATTAGGGTAGCTCCTCCCAAGACCACCAGTAGACTGTAGAGAACCGCATGCGCCCTTCAGCTTTGGCTTTCAGGGGTGCGAGCTTACATCCTTTTGTTGCAACAGGGCGAGATTCTTCTGGGCTGTGATAGGGTCGCATTTTCCCAATCCGAAGAGGGCATCATTTTCGAGAACCTTCCTTTCAGATTCCTAAACCCTGAGCTCCAACTGCCCATATGAATGCCACGTTGTTTTGTTCAGAAGTCTTGCTTACTAAGTCATGACAAGCCTCAAATGATTTACGCCTAAACCCTGACCCCAAACTCTGAACGGTATTCATTTCTTAACAAAGGGGTATTGGGTGTTCTGGGTTATTTGCAAGCCAATCGCTTCCCCCCCAGGCTGTGTGGATGAGGCCGATTGGGGAC